TGTTTTTCAACAGTAAAGTCACGTACCTTGAGTTGAATGTGCACAGGGCGAGTGAGCCAAAATAGTTTGTATGTTTTGTTTGTCTTCACACTAAACCTAACTCTGACTCAGTCAGGCAGTGAGTCCCATCAGTTGCTAAAAATGATTTAAATATAGCCAAATATTTGTTCTTGTGGACACAACCCATCTACTGTTGTTAGGCACATGGACATTTCTATTTTCCCTTTGTTGTCTAACTTCCAAGTTTTTCTTGTTATTGTTGTAAGCCTAGATCCTGTAATTTATTCTCCTTTGGACCACAGCAAATGGTGTTAATGATATGAAGAAGTTGAGAGTAATCAGAGAGTTTTCAGACCAGCTGAAAATACAGTAAAACCCTGGAGTTAGATTTGGATTGGATCACAAAAAAAAAAAAAAAAAGGAAACGTGCTGTCTTGTTCAGATGGGGGAAAGCTATGGGGATGCAGGGATTGATATCAATATTTAAGATGGAGAGACAGATCTAGACAGACACTAACATTAGATGGAGTCATTTAATTATCCATGGCTTCCGGCTGAGGGTGCGTGTGTGTGCATGTGTGTGTATACGTGCATATGCATTTATGTGTGTGTGAATGTGCGTGTGCGTGTAGGGATGTGTGTATGTGCATGTATGTGTGTGTGAATGTGCATGTGTGTGTGTGCATATGAGCGTGTGTGTGTGTGTGTGCGTATGTGCATGTGTGTGTGCGCGTATGTGCATGTGTGTATGTGTGTGCATGTGCATGTGCGTGTATGTATGTGCGTGTGCATGTGTGTATATGCGTATGTGCATGTGTGTGTATATGCATATGTGCATGTGTGTATGTGTGTATGTGCATGTGTGTGTATGTGTGAAAGGAAAGAGGGAAGGAAGAGGAGGAGGAGGAAGAAGGACGGGAAGGAAGAGACAGACATTCCATTAAAAATCCTGTGAAAACACATGGCACAGCCCCTGCCCACCCTAAAGGAGAACTTCAGTTTTCTCACTCTCTTTGCCAAAATATAAAGGGGAAGACAAAAGCACATAAACATAGGGAATACGTGAAGACATAAGGAAACGCAAGAATGTGCATTGCATCCTTAGAGACAGTGTATAATATGAAAGTGTCTAGTTTTACATAAGACTAGAGAGTCCTGCAGGAACGGGAGAGCGATGGCCTTCATTGCAGTTATACTGAAGGCCAGGGCTCTGCTGGAGACACCCAGTGGAAAAGTGAGCTAATCTACAGGCAGTTGGGGAGGAAAGCACGATAACTGACATGGCCATGTTGTTCCTTTGCCTTCATTCATCCAGATAATGTGAAGTTTTTTCACCTGTCAGTAGAGAGGTACCTAAAGTTTGAAAACTAGTAAGGACCTCATTAAATGAATAAGTATAGAACAGGGGAAAAAACTCTGCTGGGATTTCTCTTCTGATTTTGTTTCCTTCTTGTCAGCATCTATGGAGGTTCTTATCACAGCTGACCTTTGTCGCTTGGCTTCCCCAGTGGGAACTCTGCTCCAGCTGCTTTTGTGCATAGTCACTGGAGCCTTCCTTCTGCAGCTGTTCGGGGGAGGGGGGGCGCAGCAGGAAGTAGTGACCAGGATGGCCAGGACTGGGCACCCTCAGGGTGTAAACGCTCAGGCAGGGCTCGGCCCTGCCCGTGGATCTTCATTCACCAGATAGATGTTTGCTGAGTGTTGACCACGTGCCAGGCACTGTGCTGAGGGCAGGGACACGACGGTACGAGACGAACTGAGCCCACCTTGCACTTAGGCCCTTCCTTAGGCCAAAGGAATGAGGAAATGTCCCCTAAATCACCACAGGAGAGCCTGAGTGAGGGACAGAGGGGCGGCTGTGACCATCCCATCGATTCCTGGACAGCATATTCTCCAGAGAACAACACACTGAGGAGCCATAGAGTTCCCAGGCTAGCCCATAACA